CGGGGCAGTGCGGGGCAGTCAACTCCGCTGAATTATGTAATACAGTCAAAGGGAAATGTCGAGCAGGTGGGGTAAGATGGGGATGCCATTGGCAGTGGTTTTTGCCAACTAACCAACCCGTTCGTTGTCATCAAATGCAAAAATCGCGAGGCGAGCTTCCTTTTCCTTTCACAGAGCTGCTGCAAAATTTCCAAAAATTCTATTATTATTAATAGAGGCAAAAGAAGAGCAGAGACGACGACGACGACGGACGGAGAGAGAAAGCAACGCAAATGAATGCCAGGCGCTAGGCGCTGGCAAACGGCAAAGGCGACCATGACGACTGCCATGGATGAAGTGGCAGAGCAGAAGAACAAGCAGCAGCAGCAACAGCAGCAGCAGCAGCAGGACGATGGCTGTCGTGTCCGTGTCGCATTCTCGTGGTATGCGTTTGTCTCTAGCCCGAAAAGTAGACTACAATAACCCGAAAAATGCACACAGTTTGCATTATAATGCGAAATTTTCGATTGCTCATTTGTGGCATTTACTTTTTACTATAAAAGTTTTATAGCCAGGCGGCTGAAGATGGCACAGCCAGCAACAACGACAACGAGGACAACGACGACGACGACAGCTACAAAATTTTGCACAATGTCATCAACGTGGCTGACAATGTTACGGACGGCAGTGGGAGCAGTGCGGAGGCGCCTCCTCCGTCCAGTTGGTCCAATTCGTGAGGGCGTCATTTTTGCCTCAGACTCCGCCTCAACCTCCGCCAGCAACTCTGTCTGTCTGGCTGGGCTGTGCTGTGCTGTGTTGTGCTGCCTCTGCCTGCTCCGCCCCGCCCCGCCCCGACCCGACAATTGTGTGCAATTCTTGCCGCACTAAACTTAAAGGATTACTTTTGGCTAATTTCACTCGGGCATGGGCATTCGCTGGATGGGCAGCCCGGCAAGACACAAGGCAAGGAACAATTGTCTCGCTAAAAACTTAAGCAACCTGCCAAACGGTCGCTTCTTGTTTAGGCATCTACGACTCGCCAGACTCGTTTTCAGCTGCCATCAAAAGTTGTTGCATTCGAACCAAAGCTAGTTGCAACAAAAGCCAATATTACATAAGACTGCTAGATATATTATATTTATTGTATACATACATACATATATAGTATATTGATATTAAAACTACTGCGATTGTAGTATATAACTTTATGGTACTCTTGGAGCTATTTGAATAGAGAACTATCAGGACATATCATTCAATATTTACTAAAAACAAGTAAGAAGGCTCCAGTCGAGACTGCTCGACTAAAAGATACCCTGAACCCTCCAAGCTGATATTCTAATCATTCTGGACTTCTTTTATGCACACATGAATACACATGCACTTATAAGCACGCGCTCTGCTAACTGCGCAGTAAGCAGCGGCTGCGCTTGGGCTGCGATGAAGTGTGGGCAATATGATGAGAATTTATTTGTTGAATAATTTCTTTTGTAGACATACGATCTTAATGAAACTTTTAGAGCGTAATCATATAGTTAAAATGTGTGTATATTTCAAAGCGCAAGTCTCTAGTACTTGAAATTTTTTACAAATTGGGGGCGAAGGGGGCGTGGTATCCAAAATCTGTAAATTACAAAATCTTTGTATCCATTAACTTTATATACAACGCAAATTTGAAGTCTACAGGTCTAAAAGTGTTCAAATTAGGCTGAGAAAACAAAAGATATCGGATGAGTTACCGAAAAAATATGATAAACTTGTACTGCGTATGGTATACTCGAGTATGCATGCCAGCTCTCTAGCTCTTATATCTTCTGAGATCCTTTTGCTCATACGGACGGACGGACGGACAGACGTACAGGGCTATATCGACTCAGCTCGTCGTCCTGATCAAGAATATATATACTTTATGGGGTCTGCGATGATTCCTTCTGCCTGTTACATACTTTTCACAAAACCATTATACCCTGATTTCCCATTTTCAATGGGTTCAGGGTATAAAAGAGCAAGGGTCCGTCGAATATGAGCCACCTTGTAGAGTTACCAAATGGACCCGTCGAATATGAAGTCGTCGTTTTTTTGGAGCAACAATTAGTAAACTACAATTTATTGCATCTCACTCATCTGAAGCTCTTTTGAGCCTCGCCCAGTAAGAAGTGCAATAGCTCAGTCCATCACGAGCTATTACATCTAACACATTCCATTGATTACATTCCCACTCTTTCTCTTTGAACTTTCTCTCTCTCACTCTCTGTCCCTTACTCTCTTCTTTAAGCTCTAATTTTTTGTACCTAATCTGAATAGCTTATATTACAACTTAAGAAACAGTATCGACTTAGTTTAAAATCAATTTATAAAAACAATTTTGATACAAGATCGATATTTATCGATATGACAGTCTATGCCTATTCAGAAAGAAGACACATGAGTTCAATTCCTATGTCAAATATATAACGACAATTAGCCAACATCTGAGAGTCTGGCAAGACTAGCAGCAAGGCAGAAATACAATTTGCGATAAGGTCGGCTTAATCAGCCTCAAACACAGCTTTAGCTTAACTAATAATACATTATCTGTCTGTCTTTCTCTCTCTCTCTCTCACAGACAGTAGATTCAGCTGAACATATCGATACAGCGGTCGTCGCTTAGCCCACACACCGCGCCGCGCCCTGCACTACCTACCCCCCTCAATGGCAGCAACCAGGTGGATTAAGGACAACAACGTCGCAGTCAGGCACATCGTTTGCCTCCTGCTATCCGCAGCCATTTGCTTATATTAAAACCATTTTTCGCTTATTACCAAAAAATTTAAATATTTTGAAAATAATAAACTGCGGGTGAGTTACTAAGTGGCTAAGGCCCGGCATGGTGTGGGCGCTTCATATATCCCAACTCATAAGCATTGGCATTGGCATTGGCAGCCGCAGCGCAGCCTCAAACACAAAAGATAGAGCGAGAGCAAACATTGTTTCGGACGACGTTTGGGCAGCATCAGCAGCAGCAGCAGCGGCAGCATAATGCTTAGCATGCTCTGGCCCACCTTTTAACCCAATCCATGGCATGCGATGCCATTACTAATCCTCCCAAACCCAAATGTGGCGCGCGCGCGCTGCCGCGACGCTATCAGCGCGCCTCGTGTTGATTGTCGCGCGTTGCCATCAATGTGGCCAATGTGCAGACCACCCAAATCCACCCACCCATTCACTGCCAGCTGCCACTGCCACTGCCACTACCATTGCCGCTGCCACCTGCCTGCCACGCCCATTCCGTGGAGATTGTGGCTGCCGTTGCTGCCATATCCATTTAGCCGGTGTTGCGGGTCGCCTCGAAGCTCTGCTCATTATGAGCATCCCGCCTGCCAAACACGATAATGATGATGCTGTTCGCGATACAGCTGACGCTGACGATGACGATGATGATGATGATAATGATAATCGCGCTGATGCTGATGGCCGACGCGTCGCATAGTGTCATATTTTTATGATTTTTATGTTAATTCATAACCAGCCCGCATCGCGGTTGTCTGCGCCCGCCTCGCTCGCTGCCAAATGCTTTTTAATCCTTTTAATGAAAATTAGTTCCTCTCAATATCATTTAATATATTTTCTTTCGCTTGGGTTTCATTACACCCGTCCTGGCCCCGACCCCGGCCCCGGCCCCGGCCCCAGCCACAGTCCCAGTCCCGGTCTCGGTCCCTGCTCTTACTATTCCAGTTCCTCTTCTGTTCTGTTGTTTTCACAGGCATTATCATAATTTCTGTTTGCAACCCTAAATCAACACTTGCCCCATGCTGCGCGTCTCGATAAAGGGTTACTGACTGGGACAATCCCCACCTCCAATCCTCCTGCTTCTTCTACCGGCTAACGGGCATGGGGTATGCATATATACATATACATATATATCACAAGGCGCTCCAGTTCCAACTCCATGCCTTTGTCTTTCGACCTTTTGCGTTTGATTTTCTATGCGGCGTTAAATGCCGCAGTCCTTCGCCTTGTCTCTTCTGCCTCTGCCGCTGCCACTGTCTCCGCTGCTGCCTCTGCTGTTGTCGTTCACGTGGCTTCTTTGGCAAATTGAAAACCCAAAAGCAGTAAAAATTAATGTCCGTAGCGAAGGTGTTGCCATATTTCTTGCCAACTGCCAGAGCGCTTTCTGCAGCAACAAAGTAGCCAAGGACGCAAATGTCTCTGCGTCTCTTTAGCTGCCTGGAATGTTAGCAATACAAATTCAATATTTTTATATATAAAATGGCATAGGGAATACTTCTATTAAAATCTAACAATTTAAAATATCATTTGTGAATTTATTTCAATTTTACCAATTTCTTTTCAACTAACTCCATCCGCTATTAGCTCCCACTTATATCCAAAGATGTACTCAAAGCAACAAGTAAGATTCTCTTGCTGTATGACTTTTGTTCTAAAAGCACTTTCTAAAGGATATTTATGGAGCTGTGCCTATTGGCCGATGCATAAGTCGCTTCTATGTGTAATATAGGGAAAGCGGATTAGAATCCTCAGCACTCTAAAAATTTATGTCTTTATCCTTGGAACCTGCGTGGACAATTAGGAACTTCAAGCTTTTACACATATTAAATACGAAATATGATAGATATTTATCGATAATAGTTGAAGTTATCGCAATAAAATAATATGACGTGTACTGCACATAGTATACTCGAAAATATATTTCAAATGCTAAATTTCATACGGCTTAAAAAAAACAATGCGGCCGAACAAGCTTAGAAGGAGACGTACGGATAAATGTATGAACGGACGGAAGGATGAATGGTCGGACGTTAGAAGAGACAGATGAATGGTCGAGCAGACAGACGAAGGGTCGGATGACGGACAGACGTACTGGAGGACTCTAGTTTTGCTTCAGCTCTTCACTCAGATCAAGTATATCTAAATGTATATACATATATATATTTCATCTAGTATCAAGTATATCTATATGCATATAAATATATATTTCATCTACCACAGCTCTCTTTCTGCAATTTCATAAAAGCAATTCATTAGGTTATAAAATTAGTTTAAATTTATTAACAAATTTGTGTATTTCACATACTTATGTTGATTTCGATCTACTTATTCGATGCTTAAAGGAATGTAGTAGTATTATTCGGATCTAATGAACAATTGTGCATAATTATTCGCTTAATAATAATAGTTGAGACTTATCTAATTTGATTGAATGCCACTTGCTGTGGCACGCAAAGTTATATACCAAATCAAAGTTGTTTTGGGGAGCTGATCATCGCTACAGCTTAACATGTTGGAATCCAAATAAAAAAAAACTTACTACCTATCTACATTCTGGGCTTTCACCACTTTTCGTCCGCATTACATAGGCGTTCCGTTCAAATTCTTGGCTCTGAAACAATTTTTGCTAAACGTGATTCGATTCATCGATTGGACTGGCCGGATTTTAGATGCACGACTGTGCACTATGAATTAATAGATTCTTGTATCTAATGGCAGTTTTGAGGTGTGTGTTTGGGTGCTATGAGATAGCATGCTTAAGTCTAAATTTGTTGAGGTCATTCACGGTTTCATCGACCCAACCGTTATTAACCAATTATGATTACACGTGCTGATGGGGCTTTGTCCGAGGCATATGATAGGGGGGGAAGCGGTAGATCGAAACATATGGACGGCATTCTATGCAATTTCAGGTCCAATAGATGTTTTCGTACGCATCCACATACTCATTTGCTTACTCCTGCGGGGGACCCAGTTCCTGTTTAGACCTCATGTAAACCATATCCTGATCTGGCTTGATATTGGCTGCCTGACGCCTCCTGGTGGCCGCAACCCGCATCGCCACCTCCCAGTCGCGTCCCATCGCGTTGCGTGTGCGCTCGTCCGGACTCCGCATAAACTGTTCACGCAACGAGTGCGGCTCGGTCTGGCCAAAGTCGGGCTTATAGCGTCGGGGATCTCGCGGACGCAGCCATCTGGTATCCATGCGCTGTGGATCGCTCCACATGTTGTCCTCGCGCACTAAGCGCTTCGGCTTCGCCATGTCCCTCTTGAAGGCCTCCACAGTGCTGGTCTCCGTGCGATTGGGCGTGCCACCAACATTTTGTCCCGATCCCATTGTGGTTTTATTTGTTCCACTGCTCTTAGAGAATCCCTTCTTCGAGGTAAATGCAATGTGTCGTTTGATCAGCATTCGTGATGCATCTGTCCGCGCGTACAAGCCACCAACGAGCCTTATCGATGAACGCTGCATGATTTGAATCCTTAACCGGGCAGAGCCACATTCAATTAAACACAAATCTTTGGCGCGCTTTAACGCAATTGCAATATTTACCTGAATATAAAAGTTCACTGCTGTAATTTCAAAATAAAAAATTCAATAATTTATTTTTTTTATTCTTCAATCTATCTTGAACCGAAATTTGTGAAGGTTTTTTCTATTTTTCAGAAAAAAAAATTTTTGGTTTCACATGTGATCTGTACTTTGAATGGGAACCGAATGAGCCTGAAATGAACAGCTACAACTGTATCACAAATGTCGCCTGGCGGCGCCTACTATGCACAACAAATTTCAGCAACTGGGAGTTTTGCTGAAAATCATGAAATGGAACTTTGGACATAGTAGGCCAGAATTTATTTGAAGCTTAGCAGGCCCTAAGCACAAAGCAAGCGAATTTATTTATCATAAATTGACAAATATTCAGTAGAAAAAATTAAGCAAATACTAAAAATTCCATTGAAATCCATTTAATAATACAGAAGTTATTAAAGAAATAAATTTGTTTGTTGTGCATGTTCCAAGGCGTACAGCTAAAAATACGATTCGTTCAGGGCATCTAAAAGTCGTCATGGCTAGTTGGATCGAAGCTAACACTCAACTGCTTTGCAATTCGAATGATAGAACTAAAGCCTAGGCAGATCTCTAACTCTGCTCTGTCGACAGTCCTTAGTCCTCTATTGACATTGTCAACTAACCAAAACAGAACGAATCTCTTGAGCTTGTCTGCGAAAATTTCTATGCATGCAACATATTATTATCATATACATATATATGTGTTGGGTCATATAGACCCGAACAAGCCTTTTGAGGTCGGGTCTAGAAGAAATTGCACATCCGCTGCAACCATTGCAGAACCATTAACTGCCTGAGTGAGCGGCGACTCTTGGAACTTGGAAGCAACGCGACTTAAACGCAGATGCTTGAACTCTTTTTGATTTTACATATACAAATAAACAGAACACACAACGAACGAGTGTGTGTGTGCATGTGTGTGTGTGTGCCTTCGCACAATTGCACAATTATGTTAAATATCGACAAGTGGCAGGGAGGCCAGCAGACGCTTTTGTTGTGCCGCAGGCAAATATTAATGACGACAGGTATTAAACACTCGAAGCAGCCACAGTTGCAGTTGCTGTTGCAGTTGCAGCCGTTGCAACAATCGAAACGATTCAGCAGGCCCCAGCATGTAATACAGGTTGAGTGGTTTATAATTTGGCACAGCTTTGTTCGTTCCTGCCATCCAGCTAACTGGGTGAAGTGCTTGAAGACCAGACCCCCAGACCCCCCAGAGCCCAGAGCCCATACCCCAGCCCTCAGCCCCACCCACTGCCAGCCAAAGGACTTTTGCTGTAATCATAGCGAGTGCCTAACCTCAATCTGGCATGGCTTAAGTATATGGCAGCTATATATAGAATAGAGCAGACTCATTTTAATTGAAGACCAGCTGCTCAGAAATCAAGTCGGAATAGCATTTCACTCGATGAGTCCAATTAAATAATTTTGTGACAATAGAAATTTCGTTTTGCTTAGCTCCTTTTATATGGAAAAAGTCATAAAATATATATTTATATTATAACAATATATTGCATAGTAATAAAAATATCTATGCAATATATTGAAATTCCTATTAAAAACTTAATTTAATTACTATTATAAAACTAGTTAGTAATATTTACATAAGTATATCATAAGAGATATACCTAGAACCCAAAAGGTTTGCGTGTGACCAAATTATAGCTTTTTTCGACTAAATTAAAGCATTTTAATACAATTTATTTTGCATTCTTTCTAGCAGAAATTATATTAAATTTTATTACATATTAATTTTAAAAAAATTTTAGGGAGGGAAACGAATGTCGATCGCAGAAGGAGACTAGAGAAGTCAATGCAAATGGTCTTCATATTCACATACTCATGCGCCCACTCAATTCACCTATGCAATTTGTAGCTTATCGAGCACAGCCTCGCATACTCATAATCGGTTGTGGAGAAGGCAGAGCAAACCAACAACAAATCAATTTCTAGCCGATCGTAAACGAACTCGTTGAAGAAGCGATGCTATTGGTTGCCCTTTGGTTTTTTTTCAGATTGTGAGTTAAGGACACTTATTTGCAGACATTGTGAAACATACAACTTGTATGATTGATGGTGTTAAGTTCGTACATATGGATGTACTTACGTCTGCATTGCCTCAGACTTACATCAAATTGGAGTCGACATGCATATAAAGTCGAAGGCCACAGTTGCTCTTAAGTTAATCTTCATTTCATATTGATTCTAGTGTCTAATAAACAAACAAAAAATATATGAATAAATAAATTTTCATATAACTATTTTATTTTAATTTTATTTATTTATTTATTTATTTATTTGTTTATTTATTTGTTTATTTATTTCTTTCTTTCTTTCTTTCTTTCTTTCTTTCTTTCTTTCTTTCTTTATTTATTTATTTATTTATTTATTTATTTATTTATTTATTTATTTATTTATTTATTTATTTATTTATTATTATTTTTAATTATATCTTCGCGAAAGTCGATATGATATTTGATTTATATTTTTTAGTCTTGAAAAAATATATATTTTAAACTACTTTTTTACCAATATTACATTACATTCATTGCGCATTAAATGAAAAATAATAATTTTAACCATTATCTACATTTAAAGCACGATAATGCATTAGATATACTTCGACTGAGGCCTACAGTCTGGACAGCTCCAGTCCGATTTGTAATTTGTTTCTGAAGAGAGAGTTTAATAAATGAACGCGCCTTACTTAATTATGCAATCTAAATGCATTGAATCACCTCAACCAAATGACAATAATCATAATGACAGCAGCAGCAGCAGCCAGCGGGCAAGAGGTGAATCTTATGGCTGAGCCGGAAGGAGTTGGAGATCAGGACTGCTGGAGATGTACATATAAATATTCTGGAGCGGGGGGAGAGGGACATAGTTGTCATCAGTGGGGAGGTGCTGACGAAGGGGGCAGAGTCAACGATTGCCAAGGCTTTTACGTAGCGACGCCAAAAATGTTAACTCATTTGTTGTCCTTTTGCCACTGGCAGAGAGGCTGGAAAGGGAGCTGGAGATGGAGCTGGGGTAAACCGCACAACAGTCTCAGGTCTATGGGGCAGGTGTTATTGCCATCGTTGCTGTTGTTGTTGTTGTTGGTGGGTGCCAAGTCCGCATCCTCAACAGACGACAAATCTTTGCAATTTATTTACGTGCCATTTCGTAGCAAAATTTTCGTTAGATTTCTTTGGCTTGGCGGAATTCCAAGACAACTCGCCCTGGCCATACCGAGGCGGTGTTGACGTCGTTGTTGTTGTCGTTGTCGTTGCCGTTGTCGTTGTCGTTGTCGTTGGTGGCGGCTCACAAAAGTCATGACGCGCTGATGACGTTGCCAGTGGAAGGATTTAATGGCACATTAAGAATTTTATTACCGCACAACAACAACAGCAGCAGCAGGAGCAGCAGCAGTAACCATGCATTGGTGAAGGAGAGAGCGAGGGAGCGAGGCAGATGTAGAGCTTAATAGTCAAATCGCCTGGCATTGCGCGGCACATCAAGCCGCAGCAGCAGCGGTAGCGGCAGCGGCAGCCATTGCACACCTTAGCCGGAAAACATTTTTGGGGGGTGGTGGGGGGAGCGCGAACACACATTTTTGACAGCAGCATCGTTGGGCGCCATGAAAATCTTTCAGAGTCAACAAATTTTTTTGCGCTTGCACGGATTTCACGAATCTGACGACCTCTCGCGCAGCCCACCTGCCCCCCTTTCTCTCACTATTCGTCGCTGCCTCGCAGTTGTCATTATTACAAGTTTTGCATAAATGAATAAATGACATTTATGTATTCCATTTAGCCAGCACAGCATATAGCCAAACCGTCAGTCAGTCAGTCAGTCAGTCAGTCAGTCAGTCAGTCAGTCAGTCAGTCGGCTGTCATTTGTTGCGCGAAATGATGCGCGAGTTTTTCAAATCATCTTGGCCGTTGTATGGGTAAGCTTCTACAGTTGGCTGGCTTAGCCACCAGCTCATTCTGCTAGGTGTCAGCAAATTCTGTGCACTGCTCTATATAGCAAACAGTTAAAGCGCATTTCGAGATTTGAATTTTTTGCTTAATTGAATTAATTTCAAAAGCATGCTGAGTTTCTGGTCAGCTATCAATTCATTTAAAGTTTCTAAAAACAAATAAGAAAGTTTTAGTCGAGACTGCTAGACTACGAGATCTCCTGAACTTTTTGAAGAACTGCTAGTCCAATGTATTGTTCAGCTGTTTTTTACATACACAAGACACACGCATGCAGACATAGGCACGCGCTCTGCTAGCTGCGCAATTGACGCAGCGACAGCGCTTGGGCGGCAATTTTGGTTATGCTATGAGAACTTATTTTCTTCTTTGATCGAATTTCGTAACATTCACATATATGTATTTACAGTGGAATCCGGCTATAGCGACTCCGCCTATAGCGTCCGTACGGTTAATGCGACGAGAGTTCTGGTCCCAAGACAAACTTAGATAGATATAGCATCTCCCGTATATAACGACGGTCCCTTGAGCGTCGTTATAACCGGACTCTACACATGTATATGTAGTTATATTTACCAAACCTCAAGTCTCTAATAACTGATAGATTAGTAGATTTCAGTTATTAGATTATATTTCGTACTACTTTCAAATATTTCATTTGCCTCTACTTAGTTTAATCCAAATGTTATCAGGTGCTCTCATTTGTATGCTGCCTTTACCAATTATAGGCCCATAACAGCTGAGGCTCTTGGCCTTTTCCAGGCAGCCGCAGTAGAAAAGACGCAACAGGAATGCGTAAGGCAATAGACTTTTTTATTTATATGCAATTTAGTTTCATTCTGTTCTATTCTGTTCTGTTTGTGCAACCCTTTCGATGCTACCTTTCCGCATTAACGATTGTGAGGCTGCTAACCCATTGCGTGCTACTTAATTTGAATGCATTTAAAAATGTTAAAATATGGCAATTGCCAGTTTAAGAACAGAAATATAAAAAAAAAGAGTAAAACGTAAATAAAATAAAATTGTCTGCAAAGACACGCACCAAGAGCGTAAAGCAGGCGCGAGCGAGACGCCACTATTTGCCAGACAGAGCGAAAGAACAAAGATTTGTACGTGTTGTTACTTGATGAGGTTGCCGAGTGTCAACCGCCCCAGCCACCCACTCGAACCCCCTCTCCCGACTTAAATTCCACAGAGCCA